GAGGGGTGGGGGAGGGGACTGAAGCTCTGGGCCGGAGAGGGCATTGCGGGCGGGGCGGCAGGTGGCTAAGAGGTGTGCCAGGCTGAGGGTCTGCCGGGGCCCAGGGCCTCCAGCACCCACTGGCCGGATCCCCAGCGTCGGAGCCGGAGGGACCTAGGGGGAGGCCAGGGCCGTGCTGGGCGCGGACGTCCCAGGCCAGGCGTCCCGGGCCAGGCCTGGCTGTCCTCCGGAAGCCTTGCTCCCTCCCCTCCTCCTGGATTCTCCTTCGGGGCGCTGGTGCGACCCCTACTCCTGCTCCAGGGGCCGAGGCCGCAGCCCTGTCAGAGTTTCGGGAGAGGTCAGGGCCAGGGAGTTTGCGCCCCTGCGCTCCGCGCGCAGACACCGCCTCAAGACCCAGGCAGGGAGCGCAGCTTTCGCCCTGGAGCGGGGCTCGGTGGCCTCCCGCCCCACCCCCACACCCAGGCAGCCCTTTCCTGGTGCGCCTGAGATGTTGACTCGCCTATGCGTTGGAGACTGCCCCCCGAGAGGCTGTTGAAGGAGCCGCTTTCCGCCTCCCCAGGAGTAACGGCCTCCAAGTGTTGGTAAAGGGCACGGCGCGCCCGGGGGCCCTGAACTGCAGCGGGACAAACTCAGGTTACAAGTCTCCGGCCCAGGGCTTCCTATGGGCCTTCCTCTCTGGGCCTGGATTCTTGAAGCCAGAGGCCTGGACTCTCTTCCAAAGTGACCACTAAACTGCCACCTCTCCTCCTCATTACCGTTTTTGAAATATGTCTGTGCTTCCCACATGCACCATCCTGTGCTAAGTATAATTTGAGACAAAATTTTTTAACCTGACTGTAATCACCAGGTCTTTTCCTAGTTAGACTGGCAGTTTCTGCTCCTCTCCTGGGCCCCCTCCTCTCATACACATACGACCTTGTTTTTGTCTATTAGACTTAACTCAATAATTCATCCCCTCCGACTCCCCTGTCCCTTCCTTCAAACCCTTGTTCAATGCCCTGCATAAAGTCTTCCCAGGCTGAGCCCCTGCCAAGCCCCAATCTCTCCCGGCACTGCGGCAGCCCTTGAGTGCATGTAACTGGCTCTGCCCAGCTTCCAGTAGAGGATATTGAGGCCCAGAGGGAGAGGGATTTGCCTGTGATGTCCACTAGGTGAGTGATCTTACTGTAAAGCCACTGGGAGGCAGCCTTGTGTGGTAGCAACCACAGGGCTCTGGAGCTACACAGACCTGGGATTGAACCCTGACTCTGCCTCTCATGGGCTGTGACCTCTCTTGGTAGGCCTCAGTTTCCTCACCTGTGAAATGGGGTTAGCCACAGGGCTGATGGGATGACCAAGATGATGGAGGCAAAAGCACAACATTTGATGTACAGTGGGTGCAAACATTAGCTTTCCCTGCCCGTTGAAGGAAGATAATCAAATCTGAAATAATATGATTATGGAGCCTTAAGGCTGGAAGAAACCTGAGCAGAATCCCCTCAGCAATAACCCAGAAAGTGGCCACACTGCTCACCCTCCTTCAGCACACCCAGAGATGGAGGACTTTGGTCTCTGAAGGGGGTTACAGCTGGCAGCAAAGCTGTAGAGGGTAAGGAAGTATTCAACATAGAGGAGGCCAAGATGCCTCAAGGTCTGTGGGGCAGACACACACCCACTGTGTCCTCTGAGGACAAAAGTTAAACAAATGACCTGACAAGGAGGCAGGACACTCTTAGGGCAGGAAAACAGAAGAGTTCGGACATCCCCCAAAGCACGAGGTCACAGTTTCCTGTACCAGGCTGCTACGGAGTGTCGGGGGATTTGTGTCCTGCGGATTATGAAGGTGCAGAGGACAAACCACTGTAGATGGAGCGCCCTGCACAGGATCTTGCGGTGCATCCCATTTACTCCTCTGGTCCTGCGTTGTTACTAACGGTCCCCCTTTCACTCTCAAATACCTTGGTTTGGAAAATAAATTACATGTCGCATGAACTCTGAACCAAGGCAACACTCCAAAGAGCTTCTTCCAGCCCTCCAGGATCAGCAATTCTGCTGGAATTCCTGGATCCCCAGAGACGTCAAGAGACAGTGTGTT